ATAATTTGTGTATCATGAAGATTAAGATGAACTGTTTCATTTTGCAAGTTGAACTTCATCTACACCTGTGTATCAATAAAGGTTTCACTTCTTATCATAAGTATTCTAATGGCTGTACTACACATACATTGATAAAAGCAGATTGGGATTGTTTTTTGAAGAGCTACAAGTAAGTCAGTGTGTTTAAAAATCCTTGACTCCAGCAGCTGCAGAGAATGAAAAGTGCGTAGGAGATGAAGTCATACAAGCAGCCATCCTCTGCTTCAAATATCATTATAGAACTGGTGCTGACTGCATAGGTGTAGGAAAGGGGGGGCTAAGGGGGCTGATGCCCCCCCAACTTTTCAGCAGGAGGGGCTTAGCCCCCCCAACTTTTGGTAGATGAACAATAGAGATGTTGCACGGATGTAATTAACGGGGTAGGCGAGGCTTCCTGTCGGCCATCTTGAGTGGCAAGAATGTACACGCAACGAATGGAAGAATGGAAACAAACTGCTATTTTTCATCAAAGAGATATCATACTTCACTGCAGAATATTATAGAGACTTCTTCACTCAATATCTTCATCTCCTAACTTGCATTAGCCTGGAATGTCAACTGCAGAATTTATTTAATTTTTTTTCTCCATTCCCCCATTCATTCTTGACCTTCTTGCCACCCAACATGGCAGACAATTTAGCTTAATTTTAGCCACACCCTCCCGTTGATTACTTCCGTGCAACAGCTCTATAAGAAATACCATCACATGGCTTTATTTCAAATTGTTAGTAGGTTAGTATTAGCTTGAAACTTCATTTACTTAAATGGGCATAATGTAGCAATAACAAATGGCAGGAATTAGGTATGCAGTAGCTGTCGAGAGCACATATGACAGTACATATTTACATGTTTTTATGTTCAGCCCCCTTCAGCCCCCCCCAACTTTCGAATCATTCCTACACCTATGGCTGACTGTAGAGGTCACTGTCCCACAGTGCTTCAATATCATTACAAATTAAGTCATATGATGCTTCCTAAATTTGGCAATTTATAAATATCATTCCCAGCATGTATTTCATGCACAAATAATTTTTTAATTTGGTGCTGAATTATATTTTAAAATGTATGTTTCAATTAAAAATCTGTTACTAACTTACTATTATTACTGCTTTGTCAGTTACTTTATTTATGCATGCATTCTTATAATCATTGATGCATGTCCATTCAGTACAAGTAAATAAAAAAACATTAAAAATGGGAAAATAGTAGGACCTCTCAGGTCTGCTGTCTCTAATTGCACCACTCCCACGCTGCCTTGCTAGCTCCCTGCTATGGTCTTCACCCTGGGGTTGATCCCTTGATCGTTCTCTCCTCTGACTAGAAGAGGATGAATGGTGATGATGCTCTCTTGGCTTCCTTGAGTGCTGTTCACTTGACCTGCTGCTTGATGTTGCTGT